AGGAGATGCTTATTGGACAGGCACATGTTCATTCCCACTGACAGCTTTCAGCTGACGTTGTCACTGTCTCACATCCTCTGGCTGGATGAGGCCTGGATAAAGGGAGGTGGATATTCCAGGCCATTAAGGAAATGAAATCCATGAGTCAGCCTTCCTCAACCTGGAGCCCTTCAGATGTGTTAGCCTACACCTCCCATCACCCCCACCAACATGGGCACTGATTCCAACACATCTGTAGGGCTCCACACTTGGGAAAGGGAAAGCTGAACTAATCCATTCCCGGCATCTGGAAAATTTTAAAACTTCGAAACTATGTTGCTTAATCAGCAACAGACAGTTGTAAACTCATCAATCAGGGGGACAGGATGGAATGATGCAAGGTCAGTGGCAAAGGGCAGGCAAAATCTTAAATTCCCAGCAATGAATCTCTGATTAGCCCACTTTATATAAAGACCTCTCACTTCATTTGACGGATGTAATAAAACCTTACAATAATTTGCGTAGAATGCTTTTCAGATTATTATGCCTGCAGTGCAATACCATACATGTTTGTGAGTCCCACTGGGTTCAAATGAGATTTACCTTCAAAAGAAGTAAATATAGGATTGCAGCTTCAGCTTCTAGGTCCTGTAACATTCAGAAAATATCTTTGCCCCCAGTATGCTTTTGGACTGAGGATATCCCATGTCTTATACTGCTGTTTTTAACCAGTAAAGCCTGACACATTCAGGGACCTGATACATCAAGGACCACATCTCTCCATATGAAAGTACCAGGCTCCTGAGGTCAGTTTCAGAAGTCTTTCACTATGTGAGCCTTTTGCCCACTGAGAAAAGTGTGGGGGACAAGTCAGAAATGGGCCTTTTCTATGATAACCCATGTTATTATGCCCCTCTTGTCCTGAGCTGCTTTTGTGGAGTTCATTTTAGCCTGTGAACAGGCGAAGAAAGATTTTGCATTCTGTTATAATCTTAAAAGCTATTATACTGAAGTACGAAAAGTGTTTATGTTCTATGGTGTTTATTTTGTTTGCATTATAATGCTGATAGTTTATACAGATTCAGTTTTTTTCTTATATTGTTTCTGTATTTATGGATGTAAGGTACATTGGGGCTTCTTCTGTGATGGGAAGTGACAATTATTAATAAATAAAAATGTTATCCTTACAACAGCCTTGCAAGGTAGGTCAGGATAAATGTTTGAAGTTTGAACTGAAGAGCCAGTCATCTAAGTTCATGGCCCTATATACTTTACTACAATTTGTCTGTGGCAGCAGCTAAATTCTATTTCACTGGCTCACGCTTCTTGTAAGTATGACAATTTTGTGCATTACAGCACAGAGAAAAATCATTTTCTCTTTAAATACAAATGTGCTATCAAAATAAAAATTTCCAGTTTCACAAAATGGAAACAAGAACTATAGAAAAGTTAGCTACAGTTAACTTTAAATAGAAGAAATAAGGCATGATCTTTTACAGTCTTCTACCATGCATATAAAGGTCTAGCATTGTTACAACGGTTACAAGAGGAACAGTTTGGCTTTACTTGTCTTGTTTCCATAATCTTAATAAAAAGTGTACATAAATATCTCGCTAAGGCTACAGCTAAGCAAATTATTTTTAACCCATCAGGAGATTTCATTCATGAAATCTCTTGCTTTTCACAACAACTTTCAACAAAAAGTTCCACTGAATGCACTGTGTGGCATCGTAGGAGCCACTTCAACTGAAAAGGCCGCTCCTCTTACTGTATTATTTTCCAACAAAGTTTAGTTGTTTTGCTGCAGTGAAAGTTTTAAAAAGAACTTTTACAAGGTCATGAAGCTTTTATAAAGTCCGGGAAGGGATAGCTTCTAACTTAGTAGAATTAAGCTGAACATAGAGCAACATGTGGTCCCCTTTCAGTGGGGTTTCTGGAAAGTATTCTTTAGATTTTAATTAAACCAAGGCTTTTCAAACTGTGCTCTGGGAAAACCTGGAGTTCCTTGGAAACTTATCAGGGATCTCTTGTTGAAAAGATTAGTAATGTTGGCAGAAGACCCACAAAAGGTAGCTATGCCCACACTTAAGAAACATCCTAAGTCGGCCTTTTCCAATCTGCTGCCTTCCAGATGTTATGAACTTCAACTCCTAGCATTCCTAAACAGTGGCCATGTTAGCTTGAGTTGATGAGAGTTGAAGTCTAAAACATCTGCAAGGTATCAGGCTGGAGATGCCCCCTTATGTATCTAACACCAATTGCTTTTAAGTCTTTGCTATGCTTTGTTTAGCTTTGATAAAGCATCAACTCTACCCAGCTCCCTATTTTCCCCTTTCTTGCTATAGAAAGAAGCAGACAGTACTCTCTGGAGTTTCACTTGGGACCTCAACAAGAAGCGTCTTTCTCTCAATGGGAGTTTTTGCACTGACTTCGGTAGACACAGGGCAGAGTTCTTATTGTGTGGGCTCCAATGCACAGCCAAGCAAGATGACAGTTCTGCTTGACTTGGGGAGAGGGAGAAGCTTTTTAGAAAGGCACGGTGGGATCAGTTCCAGAGCCAGGCAAAAGAAGTGTCCCAATTCAAGGAAACACTTTTTCACAGCATCAACTACAGTTCAGTGAACAAAATAATCCTTTTCTCAGTTCTCGAAGAGCTGTAGGAAGGCAAAGAACCTTTATTTGCTCTGCTCCACTGATAAGAGGCAAAGCTTTTCCTAGCATCATAATAAAAACTCAGAAGGGGAGAGAATCTATGTAGTTCTCAACTATGCTGCTGGTGAAAACATGATCTCTGGCACATCACTGCTAGCTAATATAGCACTGTGTCTATGGACAGGTACAGGAATAATGCTTCTTTCTCTCTGAATTACAATTCAACAAGCAGTGACACACATTCCCCTTGAACATTCCCTCCCCCCATATGTGCAAATCCCCATCTACCCTTCATTTTGGAGTTAATCACTGTGTAACAAAATGCATGTGAAGCACTTTGAACACTTGAAATGTCCTATATAGAGACTAATTATCATCATCATTATCATTACATGCCTTTGAGTTGATGTTTAGATGCTATTTGACTGATGAAAGGAAAGGTTCCCTTATGTGTTAATCACTCTAATGCAAAGCTGGTTAATATGGAGACATTACATCATTACCAATATCAGCAAAAATTAAACCCTCTATTTTACCTATAAGGTTCTGCATTTAGGGTGTTCCGAGGGAATTGGTTTACAAAGAGAAATAGGATTTAATGTGAGGTTTTAGTAAGGCCATGCTAATTTTTTCTTGGTTAATGAAGGCCAGAGTTCACACATTACTAGTTACTTTTTCAGTATTTGCAAATGGAGTAAATGTACTCATATGCAGCTACAGCAATAGGGGCATGATATGAACATATTTACAAGAACATTTTATATTTCTATGGGCTTACAACATATTTGCAAACCATAATAAATTGGACACAGCAGTCTTCCCTAGCCGTTTTTCCGTGGCAGAGGAATTAACAGCTATATGGAAACCAAGAATTTAACCCATACAGTCTTCCTCATTGCTGTGTTAAAGAAAACTGAATCTATACCTGTTAAATACAAAGAGCCTCTATTTACACACACACACACGATCTTGCCCAGCCCTAGTACCTTAAGCTTGTATCCTTTGATAAACCAGTCTGAGTCAGCAAAACTGTTTATGCCCACTTGGGAATAAACGTCACTGAACTAAGTGGGGCAGACTTCTGATTTAAAAAGGCATTACAATGCTCTATCTCTAATGAACTGGAAAATGAGAACAACAAGATCCTTATCAAAACTTTACACTAAAAGGTCTACTAGGTACTTGCATTGTAAGAATCCAATTCTAACAATGTATAAGAAGCAAGCCCTAAAGGGTTCAATAGGATTTAGCAGCAAGTAAAAATGTATAAAACTGCAGCCTAAAACATTGTATTTTCAAGGATTTCTTACCCAAGCTTAAGAGATTTTTTTTTGCTTTGTTGCACCTTTCACCAGAACAGTCCAATTCTAATTTATTGATTTGGCAATGATTTGGGGTCCTTAAAGAGAAGATTCACTGAAACATGCATTCTTAGCAATGTGCTTTTAACAGTATTCTTCCGAAAAGAAATTAAAGCGAGAGTGGGCTAATTGCAACACTTGAACTAACATACCCCTCAGTCTAAGTTCAAAATCCCTCTTCAAGTGATCCCTTCAGATCTCCAGTAAGAACAATCTGTCCTTCCCTGCCCACTTGACAGGAAGGGAGAGAATGGGGTAAGGAGCTGGAGAGGGGGAGAAGGTGCTGCTCCACCCACATCTGGGTCTGGCCCCTCCCACCTGTTTTGCCCCCCATCAACACTTGGCCTGGGACAAATTGCAAATCTGACAGGAAAAAAAGTTGCCCATCCCTGAATTAGAGGCACTGGGAGTTCAGAATAATCTACCTACATAAGGCACCAACTCTCTCTGGATAAAGCACTGCTCTAAGAATATCCTCTTCCAAGCAGCACATCTGGAGCGGGATGATTTCACAGCATCTCTAAAAAGGGTGTGATTGGCTCAGACAACACCAGACGCAGCTGAATGGCTCACCCTCCCAGGAATCTGCCCATTGCCACACTGTATGAGTTTCTGCTCTGGGCTTCCATATAGAAACGTATCCTGCTCAACAACACTAGACAGGGCCCTCTGATGTGACACTTTTATTGCTACTCTTGAGCTGGAATTCTAGTACACAAATTTACTTGGGAATGTCCCATTGAAGTTAATGGGGTTTCTGAGCAGACATGCATAGGGTTGTATTACTACACACTCTGAAAATAAACATTTTTCAGTGAGGCAAGTGTGAGGGAAGTCAGATCGTACCAGCTATCAGATAATCCTCATAAAGTTATCGTATTGTGGCGATGGATTTTGTTTTCTTGCTTGCTAATGCATTTCTCAACACATCTGGTACGTTTATTATTCTCGGTTTTAAAGCTGCAGCTCCCTCTGCCATCCAGGACCAGCGGCGACCTGAGCACTTACCCAACCCCAACACGGGGATATTTAAGCCATTGGAAAGGAGAACCGTGGGCACCCCCAGCGCCTTCCCGGACTCCCAGGTGCTCATGCTGAATTGCCTCCACCTCAGCAGCAAAGGCACCATCCACCCTCCTCTTTCCTCTCCTCCCCCAACTGAAAATTCTCGGGCTGAACCTAAGCCGTGCGGTATAGCTTCTGACGTGCAAAAACGTCGCAACACGACCGGAAATACTCCTTTACGGCAAACTGCGGGCGACCTGGGAAGCCTAGGACAAAGCGTGGGAGAAAAAAGGCAGGCGCGTTCACGCACGTGCAAGTTCGCAAGGGGGAGGGAGCGTTGCGGGGGGGGGTTCTACGCTCCCTCAGCCAATAGCAGGAAGGGTGTCTCCGGGTGGACGGAAGCCGTCGTTTGCATGTGGTAGAGACGCTCGCGTTGATAGGTGAGTGGGGAGATCCTAGCCAAGGGTGCACGTGGTAGGCGCGTTTGCATGGCGGTGAACCCCATTGAGTTTTGCGGGGCGTCATCCCGAGTTCAGGTGCATAGAACACCAAGGTCCACGTGGTTCCTGTTGTTGTCCTTTTCTGCCTCCGAGGAGTCTGGGGGGAGGTATGATGCTCCTTCCTCCTGACAATCCTGCGAGGTAGGCTAGTCTGAGAAAGAACGAGTGGCCAAACCAGTATTTGGAGGGTGAGTGGGGATTGCAATCATAATTTGATGATGATGATCATATAATGGGCAGCTTGCAAATTTCCCAACAGCCGTGGAATCTAGCAGCAAAATAACAAAGCAAAAAAATGAATGCCTTTGCTAATAACAATACAATAATAGAAAGAATACAATATTAAACATTAAAAACATTTTAAAAACTTGAAAACCTCGAGTCACCACCAGTAAAATGAATAAAGCAACAGAGGAGACATCAAGTGTCTGCCTGAAGGCAAAGGCCTTACTTCAATATGACTGTGAGCCGCCCAGAGACAAAAGTTATTGGACAGGCTAGAAATACTCCAAATAAATATCTGAATGCATATAGAGAAAATATCTGGGGGATGTCCCTGGAAGGGACACTCCATAGAGAAGGGCCACTCCAGAAGCTTTTTTCCTAGTAACTCCTTATTTCATCATTGTAGGACCGGCTGCACTAAATTCAGTGACTTTTCTTCCAGGTGGGTTTACATGGAAGCAAGCCTTGTTTAATCTCTTTAACAAGCTTGCATAGGTCAGGCTAAAATGATGTGCAGCTTCTGCCACTTCTTTCCCCAGCCTGTCAAATTTCTTGTGCTTTCAAAGATACTTGTCAGATAATAAGGCAGGTTAACCAGATGCAAAGCAAATAAAGGCCCCTTTATCTTTTCCTCCAGTATAAGAGGGTTTGCAGCACTGCCTGTTGTGCCAATTGGAAGGGCAGAAACGCACTTACTGAAATCTCTTCTTTGCAACTGCTAAAATTACCTGTTTTCCTCTGTATCTAGTTAACATAATTTACATGCTGAAAAGAACTGCCTTGATTGAACAGAGAGGGATGATGCCTTGGAGGTATGGCAGGCTAGGCTGCATGAGGAATTTGTTTTTGTTGTTTTTTTTTTCATTTATAAATGTGTGATTCACCAATTAAGTGTGGTTTTAATGGCAGTTTGATCCACACATTGTGACAAATGATGATGCTTGCATTTACACTGTGGGGGAAAAACATCTGCGATTGCGTCACATCAGGCTACTGTTAGATGCATGTACAGTTAGTGTGTGGATTGTACTTGTTCAAACCTTGCAAGCACCTTGTGAATGATCATTGTGAGCTCACTTGTGGTGAGCAACGCACCTCTCTATGCTATTTTAAATTATTGTAATGGCTTTAATGACTTGTACATTCATATTCAGCCATTTTTTAAAACTCACTTTGCAAAGCAGAAAGTACTCCTATACTGCCATATAATTTTAAAAAAACCCTTTCATTTCCTTATTAAACAATGGGCAGTAACCTATACTGCCATTGCAAAATTAGTAGTTCCTGAAATAACCCTGGTAAACCTTCTTTCTGTGAGCCCACTGGCCTGTGCAATTCTAGAAACAAGCATTGTCACTTGTTTCTAGCTTTTTCAGTAACCTCTAGTTCAGATTGTGCTGGTGGTCCATTCTGCTAGTGCATGAGCAGTGTGGCATGTTGATCAATAATTATAGAGCTCATATCTGTAGGAAAAAGCTGCAGTATTCTGTCACCTAGATAAAAAGTTCCATAGCAAAATGCAGTTCAATGCCTTGAATTACGTGTGTTTAAATTCCATTTTATCATTTTGGCAGGCTTCAAAATCCTCCGTTCCAGATCTGACTTCTATTCAATTTAATTTTTTTAAACATGCTTTACCTCATTGGTCTTGGACTTGGAGATGCCAAAGATATTACAGTAAAAGGTCTGGAAGTAATAAAACGGTGCAGCCAAGTATACCTGGAATCCTACACTTCAATCCTCACTGTTGGAAAGGAAGCACTGGTAGGTTGATCCAGATGCAAAGGGCATGAAGTAGCAGTCGTAACAGAGAACTTGTTGTTTAGTGAAGTCGCGTCCTACCCATTGCAACCCCATGGACAACATTCCTCCATGCTCTCCTGTCCTCCACCATCCCCCGGAGTCCACCTAAGTTCACACCAACTGTTTCAGTGACTCCATCTAGCCACCTCATCCTCTGCTGTCCCCTTCTTCTTTTTCCATCTACAGAGAACTAGTGTTAACTAGCAATGGGGGTGCGGTGGGGAGATGCGGCCTTCTGGACTTTTTGACCTACAACTCCCATCAGCCTTATTCAGCACAGTAAAAACTGAAGAATCATGGGAGTTGTAGGTCAAAACATCTCAAGTGCTACAAGTTGCCCACCCCTGGACTATCAAGACTTGAATTCAGTGGCTTACTCTGCTATGAAATTTTCTGTGTAATGCCTGGGCCTACTTAATATCTTTCTATTTAACTCATTTCAACCCTCTATAGTAGTGGTATTTGTCAAGCCAGTAAAAAAGGATAGCTTTGCAAATAATTAGAACTCTGAATGGTAACATTTGTGAGTATATGAGCAGTTCTGATCAAATGTGTTTGGGTTTTAAAAAACCTCTTGGAATAAGACGACTGCAAACCTTATTGATTGGTTAAGATTTGGAATTGGTGCACAAGGATGGGGTTCCATTCCTGTTGCAGGAAAAAAATCCAGGTATGCTCTGAATGGTATCTCTGTGTAAGGGTATGGTACAGACTCTGTAGAGGGTTGGAAAACAGAAAAATGGGGAAGCAGTAACGTAGATGTTAACAAACAGGATTGCTTAAGAACTCAAAGATGAGCCACACCAGGATTAGGCAACCTGGAGGCTACTTGCCCCTGCACAGTTTTGTGCAGCCCACAAACCCTGAAGAACCCCGTCCTCCACTTTCCCCTGCAGCCCACCTGAGAAGGGAAAAGATGGCTGTGACTTTCCCATCCATGCTGCCCTCAAAAATCTCATCTCACTAACCAGGATCAGGAAATTTAAATCGCCCTATTCCTATACATTGAGATGTAAGAGATGGAAAATGTGCATGTATATGGATGCATGAGTCGAAGCTGCGTGTGGTCCTGAAGGCCAAAAGCGGTGCTGGTCCACAAAGAGCAGCATTCCGTGCTTCATTCCACTACAGTTCTGGCTGTTATTTCTTTCTGCTTTTGGTGGGCTGCACTTGGCCTTTGTATGGCCACCAGTGCCTTTTCTGCAGTGTCAGCACTTCAGGGCCAAAGTAGGTGTGCACACATCGAATAAATGCATCCTGTCCAACTGGGCTATACGGAGAGGGGTCTACTTTGAACGTCAAAATGTGTGTGCAGAGGTGGTTGAACATTCTCGGCTCCCTCCTCTGCACTTTTCAAGATGGCGTCCCCAGCCCGATTTCTTTCGGGATCAGAAATGGGCTGGGCCAGATATCATGAAAATGGTTTTTCCATCAGCACTACATCATTGGATTCTCTTCCTACATTACGACCCTTTGGTTAAGTCCTAGGAGCAAACTAATATATGTCATCTGAACAGGTGGGGAGTATTTTGGCATGGAGATAAGCAGGTGATTTCTTTCCCCATGGATTGTATCAGGCTGCTGTTGAAAACACAAAGGCAGGATCATTCATGAGAAGAGCAAAAGTGGCATCCTTAATTGTTGTGGATGCATGAATGAAAGTTATGTTCCTTGGCTCCACCTCTCAACACTCAGGTGGGCCTGGTGTACTTTTGTGCAAGGATGCAGAAGCCTGAGGCAGCCAGTAAATTCCCAGATACGTGTGAAGGGCAGCAAATGAACAATTACTTAGTTTTAACTATTTAGCATTGTCTCTATGCCATTTAAATATTCCTCCTTGGGCATCCTAAGGTCTTTCATCTATTTTGGAGTAGTGTGCTTGTGCATGTTCCCCACTTATTAAAACAAGTACAATCACAAGAAAATGTGTGGTACATTTGCAGAAAGTACACTAAGAGCACAGACCTGTGGAGATGGGTATAAGCCCCAAAATCAGAGGTTTACAGTCATCCAGTGGGAGGAGCGTGAAGGCAATCTTTTTGGCTTTCCAGCAGGTGCGTTTCAGAGGAGAGGGGGAGGAGGCTGAGTGGCTGGAGCTGTGATAGGTCAGCAGAGCAGGGCTGGAGCTTCAACATTGCAGCAGTGTTCCTGGGAACCCAGTCTGTCCTGTGGCCTCTCAGACAATGCCTCAGGACCCTGAGTTTGTTCCTTTAGGGTGCATTGTTCCACATGATTACTTAGAAAGTCTGTCCCTTTGAGCTCAGTGAGACTTTCTTTCTAGTAAGAGTTCTTAAGACTGTAATTTTGTTGTTGTTTCGCAATAGAAGTTAAGTCAGCTGGAAGATAACCCCACCAAATAGACATATACGTTAGTTGGTGGAGACTGTTGCACATATGCGGAACATTTGAGTTGTGTGTCCATGCATGGTATTGAAATGGTAATAATGAAGTGTGTGACCTTGGTCCAGTCTCAGTCATTTAGGATTGTGTTCAAGATATTACAGTAAGAAAAACTCATAGAGGCCACCCTAAATTTGATGGAGTAATGGTGAGATGCAGATACTATTGTAATATAAATTTATTTTTTCTAGGAGGAGTTCTATGGCAAAGAACTGATCCTTGCTGACCGAGAAACGGTAGAACAAGAAGCAGATGCAATCCTGAAGGATGCACAGATATGTGACGTGGCTTTTCTTGTTGTTGGAGATCCTTTTGGGTAAGAACACTACTAAGTCATCCTGTTACGGGTGCTGTTAAACCACAAACTCTGATTTGATTATATGGAAAGGCCTGACTTCTAAACTGTAATGTATTTGCAGTGAGCTCATCCCGGCTTCTGGGATATGGCTCTGTTTCTTTTTTTGGCAGCCAACAAGACCTCAGCCTTTCTTTATGTTTGGCGTACCTTGATCAAATGTTCCATGGCCTCTTGTATTCCCATCTGTGTTGGCACTAATCTAATTTGAAACCAGGGTGTGAATGGGTTTGCAAACCCTGTTTACGAAGGCATCCAGTTAGTGACAATCATTGTTAGTGCCAAACCATAAAGGACAGGCTAAAGCCAAGGGCAAAATGGGTAAGACCAAAAGTATAAAACATACTGGCAAGTTTTGGTTCAACATTTTTCCTGCCAGTAACTAAGCCTTCAGGGGACAATTCAGCCATTTAGAGTCACAGGGAGAGAACTGCACGAAAGCTGGGGAATTACCAAATGGTGGTGGTGGTGAAGAGGCATGACCTGGGAAAGGGGATGTGGCCACGTGGGGAACCCCCTTTCGCACAACAGTTCCACATAAACTAGCCTGCCAGAGGTGATGCACCAGTCATAACGTTCATTAGGATTGACCAAGCTCGCCAAAAAGCTAACACATTGTATTTTTCCAGCATGGCATTTCTTACTCATTGCCCAGGATGCTTGGTTACACTTTTTCAAAGTGTGCTTTGTTCACCCACATTTTGCACCTGCAAGCCATGTGGTAGCTTTGGGAAGCCAATGCCGTCATGTGAGTTGCACATTTCATGTATTTCTGGCCTTCTGGGGACATCTGGGTCATTACCACTGCCTCATCAGCTGGGCTTATTAAGCCTCTTAGTCCGATTTCCTATTCCCACTGGAAACAGCAGGCCTTTCTTCTACCAGAAGGCCGTTCTCTGCTCCAGCCAGTGAAGCATCATCAATCTGTAACGTCAGACACACAGAAGAAGGGCTTTTGTCTCCAGCTGGTGATTCAAAATTAGTATTGCCATGTTGCTGGGGAGGGGGTATGCTGGGAAAATGTAATCATGCAAGGGCCTCCTCCTCATGAGGAAGTGTATGTGTCAAAAATGAAAAGAGTAATTGAAGTAAATATACCTCCTAGGGAACATTAGCAGGCAATTTTCTTCTCTCTCTTTTTTTTTAATTGAACTGGTACTTAACTGCAGATGATGCCAGCCTTGGAGGATCAAAGTAATTATGCCATTCGAGAAAATAATGATGTTATTAAAATCTGAGCCTGTGTTAAAGGTGTCCTACTTGCACCTTTCTGCTGGCATGATACATGCAAAAATTGCAAGTAAATTATGTAAATACCATCTCCTTCCCAATATTATTTTTAAAACCTCGGTGGGGCAATCTCATACCTTTAAATGTGTGATTTAAAGGCTTTGTACCATCGCACTGCAGAAAATACAAGGCTATATACATTTCTTTGTGTTGACTTACTCCCCAGTAAGTTTGGTTATGAGAGCAACCTTAGGCATGGTCAGCAGCTGCATGTCTTGGAGGCCTCTTATTCCCCCATTCCATTAATAATTTTGGGGCTCAGGGATTTAGTCCAAAAATGACCTGCTTCCACATCCTATAGCCTGAGACATACCTCTTACTTATTCTTTATATTGCTGCCTGTATCTGGTTTGATTTTCTTTTGTTTATACTTGGAATGGATAAGGGGAACAAAGTGAGACCTGATCCAGACAGTGAAAGCCCTGTTCAGACTTTCAGGGGAGAAACTGTGAAGGTTTCACCTGGGAACCAGGATGGAGCCAGGTGCCTGTTCTCCCCACTGTGTCTCCACGAGGTTGGCCCCATTGCCTTCAGTTCAGAGCTTGCTGTGGTGGAAGTCTTTCTACAGAAGGACAGCCAGGCCTGAATGGGATTTCTCACCTCTGATTAAACCCGAGAAGAGTTCCCATGGTAATCACAGCACCTGCTCGATAGGATCCCAATGAGGGGGCCTCAGATGCGGGGAGTGGCAGGCCGGCCCCATCACATTGTCCAGTCGAGCCCTCATGTGTTCTTGTGAATGCCAGAGCCAGGCATGGGAGGCCTGCCAGTCTCAATAGAGGTTTTCATCTAATTCCGGATAGAGTTGCACCCCGCTGCTCTGAAAGGCCAGGCATGCAGCTTTGAGGTGTTGTCGTACTTGTCATTGTCTGGGGGAGCATAGATAGTAGCGCTGGCCAGGTATGACCTCAGCCAGCTTAGGCTGTAGCCCTGGGCTTCTCATTAAACAGCTTATGTCTGAACTGGACTACTGCAATGCACTTCACCTGAGGCCTCCTGTGAAGACAATTGGGAACCTTCAGCTGGTGGAAACTGTTGCTGCTCTAATATGCGTGGGGGCAGGAAGCTCTGAACACATGATACCATTTCCAGGGCCAGTTCTAAGAGCTGCAATTAACCTGGATCCAAAATTGTTTATACCCTTAAAGGTAATTTTCACCACTTGCTTGACCTTGAATGACTCTGGCCATAATCTAAGAGATGCTGGAGAGGTTCTCCCTCATTAGTTAAATGGATAGTGTGGATTATCTACATTGCATTGCAGTAGTCCAGTTTAGAGGAGTCCACTGAATTTAGTCCACTCCAGAGAAAGAGTGGAGGGGAAGGCCATTCCTCACCAACCAAGGTTGTACAAGGGAAGGAAATGCTAACTACTGGAGCACAAAACTGTGCTCCAGAGTGGAATTCAGGATCAAGTTTAAAGAACAGTTTTGCTCTAGTTGCAACCTTGGTCAGTGTCACATCACGATGCAGCAGTTTACATCTGACCAGCCTGGGAGTGCAGCCTGTGCTGAATACCCAGGGACAGTTGGTGCTTGGAAGTTTTATTTTATTTATTTATTAAATCATTTTTATGCCGCCCCATTCGCCGAAGCCTCGGGGCGGCTTACAACAATAAATAAAACCACATAAATTAAAATATACATATAAAATAGTAATAATAATTTAAAACACACAATATAAAATAAGCCGCCCTGGCCAGATAAAATGCAGTAGTATTAACATTTAAAATGTTGCTTAAATAAATGAACAGTGCCTCTTTCTGGTCACTTTCTCTGTAAGCCACCACTGAGTTGCCATGTGCCAGTGGGATCCCCGTCCCATGCCTGGCAAGCAGGCAAGATTCTCCATGCCCTTGCTCGAAGCTGCGAGTCCGAGTGGAATGATTTCCGTACAGATGTTCTGGTTCAGGGTAGCAAAAGCCAAATGCAAGTCAAATCTGAGCTTAAAACCTAGCCAAATATTAATGAAGTTGCAGAATTCAAAGAGACAGATGGGAGCGGGAGAAGCTTTTCATAGAACCAGAAATGCCTTGACAAGAAAAAGGCAAGAAAGGAAGATGAGTGGCAGAAGTGGTATAGAACAACCAGTACTCAGAGCAAAAGCAAATATTATGTACTTGTTATATAATCTCAATTATAACCATGCAAACTTAACCCTTTGCATACTTCCCATCTTTAGATCCACATGATTGTATGTTTCTCAGAAATCTCGTGCTGTAATACTTCATATGCATTGATGCATGCCCTATGATGGTTGTTACAGTCCAGTTATCTCTTTGTTTGCCTGAAGTTGAGGAATTGCAGCTTGCATGCTTTTATTTGTTTTTCTCTGAGGGCATCAGGACTGCAAACTTCTTTGCTTCTTTCAGCAGCAGCTGAGAACAAGAATATTTAGCTAGTCTCACCCTGGACAATTGCACGTGTTGCATTTCTTAGTCAATCCCTAAATCCTCTGACTAACAAAAATGTATTATTCTTATTAAATTTAATAAAAATGGTAGCACTGAGTCTAGCCAGCGAGGAACCCGAGTAGAAATTTAAGCGTTGATGCCCAAAGACGGATTGCTTCATCACATATTCCAGCTACACGCACTTTCCATTCCCTGTTCACCTCCATGGAATGAGCAGCATTGAAGCAAGATACCTTGGGGGAAAGAGGGCAGCTGAAGCCTTTGTTCAACTTCCAGTTTCTTATTTCAATGGATTTCCGCACTTGGCTACATAATGTAATAAAAATGATTGATAGATGCTTGATTATCACCCCTTACCAAGTCTGAGCTTTTAACTATTATAACTGCACAAAGATAACCTTTTCCACACTTTGTCTTTAGAGACACATGACTGTAGGATTTACACAAATCTCATATTGTCCTCCTCACTCCATATAGACTCAGATGGGTTATGCTTTTGGGCTAAACATGGATTGGCGAACAGTTTTCACAGTGGCTGCAACTCTCCAACTGCAGCGTCAATCCAAAGCTTAATTTGCATGCAGTTTGCACACCCTAATGCTGTTCCCTTGACTTCTAGCAACCTTTTGTTTCATGGATGCTCCTGCAGAGAATGTTGTTTTTGAGAGCTGGATGCTTCTCTGGCTTATGCAGGGCACTATCCACTTTCCCCAAAACCCTCTTGAATAGCAACTGTGAATGTGTGTGGAAAACAACCCCTCTGCAGACTCCTGCAAGTTCGGAGCGCGCATGCAAAGTTTCTCATTTACAATTAGGCAAAGGCCTGTTTACACAGCGATTCAGGGGAGCATTGGAATTTTGCCTAAATGGCTCTCTGCTAGACAAAGCTGAAGTTTACCAATCAACATATGTCCTGTGGTCCAGTGTAAAAGAAGAAAAGGTGGAACATCAAGATTGGAGCAATTTTGCAGGCAGGATTGGCTTTAGCAAAATTAAAATGCAAATTCTGGAGGTTTTGAAGTGGGGGTGTTTTAACCAGGCTGGGAACAGCATGATGTTTTGTCAGTTTCTTGTCAGATTTAGCTAGATGAGTACTCTTGGGCACTCAGCCTAGAGAATGAACCGCAACTGCAGCCATGGGCTTCTACATGCCTCTAGCCTGATGTGAGTATAAGTTCTGTTGTTGTTGCTGGTCGCGAAGTTGTGTCCGACCCATCGCGACCCCATGGACAACCTTCCTCCAGGTCTTTCAGTCCTCCACCAACCTCTGGAGTCCACTTAAGCTCACACCCACTGCCCCAGTGACTCCATCTAGCCACCTCATCCTCTGCCGTCCCCTTCTTCTTTTGCCGTTCTAGGTTTACACTAATACACATCACAGTTTTATATCTTTTGGGCAGACTTCATACACCTGGCAGAAGTGAATGACAGGTGCATTCCTGTGATGTGATGACTGTAGTAGGTTGTTTTGCAAGCCTTCCATGAGGAAGAATTCTTGCATATGGAAAACCAGCATGTCAGGGAGAACAAAGCCATCCAGTCTTCTCTCTGACAGGCCAGTTTTCTAACTGAGTTGATTTTTGTGGAAGGTTTCCCCCATGGTGGAATATGCAGCCTGTTAGCAAGTGCATCTGCCTGCAACTTGAAGCAGTATAGCCCAGGAAAATGTTGACTACCTGGTTCTGTCAGGTATATAAATTGGCCCCCACGCTGGAGAGCTTGTCATCTGCTCTCCATGCTGTGTCTTTTGCTGTGCTGGCTGCCTTTAGATACTTGCTTTGTTCTAGGAAATTCTTATTATTGCTTGCAGATAGTCCTCTAGTTTTCAGCAGTGTACAATCTTGCTGAAAAATCATACCTTTGGGGAATAATGGGGTCAGAGTGCTTGAGTCCTATGAAAATCTCTCACTTCACAGTCATAGAATCACAGAATAGTAGAGTTGTAAGGGGCCAGACGGCCATCAGATCCAACCCGTTGCTAGTGCAGGACACTAAGTTCCACCATCCCATTCCAGACATGACTCTCCAGATACTTTTTAAATGTTTCCAGTGAGGGAGAGCCCACAACCTCCCCAGGTAATAGGTTCCATTGCTGTACTGCTCTGACACTGAGGACATTCTTTCTGGTGTCTAGTCTAAATCTGGTTTCTTTTAACGTAAGTCTATTATTCCAAGCCCTGGACTCTGGAATGAATGAGAAGAGAGTTTGTCCTTCTTCTCTTGTAACAGCCGTTCACTTACTTATAGAGAGCGATCATATCGCCTCTCGTCTCTTCTTGAGGCTGAACATGCCCACTTCTCTCAATCTTTCCTCACAGGGCTTTGCCTCCAGGCCCTGAATCATCCTTGTTGCCCTCCTCTGTATCCTTTCTAGATTTTATTTATTTATACATGTATTTATAGGCTGCCTGTAATTGCCAAGGCCTTCCTAGGCGGTTTTTTAAACTTGGATGCTTAGAACTGGACACAGTACTCTAGGTGAGGTCTGACTCACAATGAGTCAACAGATCTTTTATGTATGCTCACCTTTCTCTGGTTAGCTACAGTGTAATTCTGTACAGGTATTGGTCTAGTACGTCCATAGAGCGCCAACCTGTCTATCCCTCAGGCGCTTTTGGGCTTCCCAGTTCCCTTAATACAGGGATGTTGAGCCTCTTTCAGCTCAGGGCCAAATTCCATTTCAGAGAAGGTCTTGGAGCCCATATTGCAGTAGAGAATGGTGCTGCGGTAAAAAGCTGCAGGGTGAAGAATACTGGCATACTTTAAAGACAGTAATTAAGCCTCAGGAGAGAGATTTCCGCCTTTTAGAACAAAAGAAAAAAAGCACAAAAGCTGGGAAACCATCAAACAATTGGTGGCTGTTTGGGAAAGGGGATGTGACCATCTAAAGGACCTGGGAGGGGCAGATTTGTCCTACAGGCTTGAGGTTCTCCACCCCTGTCTTAAAACAAGAGATGAACTGAAGTTGTTCGTGTCTGTGTGTGGATGTTCTTACAATACTGCCTCCTGTGCAAAAGAAAGTGTAGTAGGACAGGTGTGTGCTGTTGATGGCAAACTGAGTTGAAATGGCTGCATTAGAATTAAATGGTCTGTAAGTTGATTGCAGCCAATCTTCTGCCAACTCCTGATTTATGCTTGTCATGCGTGAATGAGGAAACTCTGATGTAACCCCAGTGTATAATACTCGCAGCAGTTGTCTTTGCTCTGCCAAGTGTGGCTTCTCCCACAGAGTCTTTGCTTACAGCAGAAACATGGGTGTGGATTGATTGTCAGCTGCTTTGAGCCTCCCATTTCATAGCTGTCATAATATGCTGCCTCCTGACAGCTCACCACCCCCACTTCCTTTCTGGATCATTAAGCAACCCAGAAACCCATGGTTTGTTGTTGGCTTAAAACTGGGTTGTTCCTCCTTCAACAATCCAGAGTGTCTGGCTCACAACAGTCATGACAACAGCCCACGTTCAGAGGTGTTCCTTGGTGAGTTGGAGATCCAGAAAGAAAATGGAAGTAGCAGGCATACAAGAGGCAGTGAATTCACTCACAGCCCTGGCTAACTATTGGTTATTAGGCCATAGTTAACCATTGCATGTGACCTGGGCCATGGTAAGAGAAATTGGGCAGAAAAGTTCCAAATAGATACACTTAAGTACAGACTCTATGTCCCCTAACTCACTCTCTCCTTCCTTCAGGGCTACGACACACAGTGACCTTGTTCTCCGGGCCGTGAAGCTTGGGATTCCATACAGAGTCATCCATAATGCTTCCATACTGAATGCCGTTGGCTGTTGTGGTTTGCAGGTACCTCTCTTGCCCATGGGCTATTCCATCAGTGAGAGACCACAGTTATGTTTTCTGCAGAATTTGGGTGTATAATATGCTGCCAAAACACTAAGAAGCAGCTGGGTAAATTGCACGGTCTCTAGCTTAGTTTGCAGAATCGGTTGTGATGCTTCCTTTTTTCTTTTTCTGTCTCTCAGTTCTCAAAGTGCTCTGAAGCAATCCCTACAAAGTAAAAGTTTTCTGTTTATGAAGTGCTACAATAGGAATGGGCAACACGGCTCTTCATCATCTAGTAGTTAAACATGTCGTGTCAGAGATAGATGTGAGCTGATATACAGTGACTGAGAATGTGGGCTGAGAGCAGACAATTCCGGTGTTCAGATCTCAGATATAAACATTTAAGGTAGCCAGTTAGCCTTGGCCACCCATCTGCAATATGGGAATAATTCACAATACTGGCCTACCTTATCGGGTTACTTTAAAGATAAAGATAAAGTAACCCTACAAGTTATCTTGAGTTAAAAATAACTCAAAACAAACCACAGAAAAGTACTGAGCCTATTCACTCCTCCCTCTTTGTGTGAGAGGAGAACAAAATCTTCCCCACTCACTTGAAGACACATCATATTTCCATTTTATGTGCAAAGTAAGGGATCCATCATTCTAACAAAACTAGCTAACAAGAATCTGAAGCCACAGTTTGTTTGAATGAACTTTAGTTAGATGAACTACAGTTCCTTGAGTCTGCATGTAGCACGGAACTGTAGTACTTCCTGAAGTGGAAGTGGAAGATTTGGCTCAGGAGGAGGCAAGAGTGCATCAGTACAAGTTTGGAGTGGCTTATTTGCAATCACCTAATCCATTGTTTAGGATGGAGGCCCAATTCAGTATATGTGATGCTTTGTAAATAGCACCATGTACATTTTAAATGTTGTCATGTTCAAATCCTCACCAATGAGTTTTTCTTCATGTCACATCTGCTAAGAATCTTGGAGTGGTTTCTTTCTCTGTTTTGTCTGATTCTTTCATTTTAATTATCGGCACCTCTTTGCACATTATGTAATATTGTCCTTTTTATGGTATGCTGGATTAGTTAGACCCTCTACTAGTCTCTACATGGATGACCATGCTATAGTAGAAGTAGACAAGAATTATTTTTGGTTCATTCTAACTCCATGATATGTATGTCCAAAAGGAGCTCTATTTTTTGTCATACTGCCAATGAATCAGTTCTTAAATGCAATACTAGGTAGTAAGGGAATGAGAAACTAAGAAATGTGCCTGGCCCAAAGTTACCCAGTTGGCTGCATGGATGAGTGGAGGCAAGCTCAGGTCACCTGAGTCCCAGCCTTGCTCTCTTACCCACTACAGCACCCGGGCTTTTATGAATCTTGTGCGTGTGCATGAAAATATGGGCAGTGCTTGGCATTCTTGGCTTCACCCCCTTTGGGCAGTAGCCGTGCTGGTTGCCGGCATGTCTTGGCTTGGACTTACTTTGGCACAGAGGCTGGAAATGGTTCTTCACGCCACTCTGTGTCAGCAGAGGGACAGTCAGTTGAGATAAAGTCCACAGTGCCAAGTTGGCTAAAGATGGATGGGAGATCGTAGGGAATGGTGGAACAAAGCTGGGGCCTTAGAGACCAGATGGTTGGGCTCACAGCAGGAGCTGTGCTGCCTCGATGCTAGAAATCCTTCCCAGAGGCACTCTGGCTTCCAAGTGTTTAGTGGAAACCTGTGCCTTGACGTTTATCCTCTGAAAAAAATGAGAGCTAGAAAGCTGCTAATTTCAGATAAAGTTGATATTTGAATACTTGTGAAGAAAATACTGCTGAAACACAACCATTTTGAGTAGTTTGTCTTGTGATCATAGCCACACCAGGGTTTAAGTTTCCTGCCAGTGTACATGAGCAACGCCAAGGGAAGCATGTGTTGCTTTCCGGTCAAACGAGAAAAGGTTCCAGTGCTAAGACTAGAGGAAAGGTTGTTGCTGCTCTCTATGCCAAACTCTTCGATCCAGCATGAGAAGATGCTTCCTGTATCAGAACAAGGCTTGGCTACTCTCGGTGGCCAGCTGAATGGTTCAGAGAAGTCCACAAACAGCTTGCAGGCAGCCTGTCTCTGTTGTTGCAGAACACCCTCCTCCAAACAACTGATACGCCCTATCAGGACCATGTAACCGTTGCAGCTGATCACCACTGATAGACTTTCTATTCTCTGCGTCTTTAAAGCTCTATTCTGTGAGTGATCTCTGTGGGAAGCAGATTCCATACCCAGATCATACATAGCGTCACCTTTGACCTGTTGCTGATCAATTTGAACTGGATCACCTCGAACCATGAAATACTTTTTCTTTATTGGGTTCTGATGACACCCTCAGGGCCAGCCCTGCCACTAGGCAGAGTGAAGCCACAACCTCGGGTGGCCACTGCTGGGGGGCACCAAGAGCAGTCCCCAGGCCGCTCCTCCTGAGCTCCTCTGGCATTCCCTTCTGCAGGCAGCCCCTTCTGCATCCCCTGACTAGCCAGCTGCCCTCAGGCATGGTGCTGCTTCCTGTCCCATTGCCACCACTGGGCCAAAGTTCTGCCAACAGTGCAGTCACCTCTTGTATATGTGATATCCTCCTTTGTATCACACAGCACAATGACTGGCTTACTGGCTCTGACTCCTCTATAACAAGCAGATAAGGAAGAAGGGGAGACAAATCTTTCTCCTCACTCCAGTTCATGTCTGAATCTGTTTTGCAAGCTAAAGACGCTCTGGATCTTTCCCCACAGCGGAAGTGCTGCAAGGTCCCATTCCTCATAGTTTTAGTCTTTTTTGTCCTGCCCCTTCTGCAGCTCTGCAGTCACCTTCGTGGTGTGGGATCTGCATCATTCAGGTGTCAGCTGTGCTGGTGGTCTCTGGCTTGTCCTGCTGTTCCCTCTAGACAGGCTGTCCACCAGATTGGAGAAGAGCTTGGCCTTGGAGGCTCAGGGAAAAGCTCATCCTCGCCTGTGCACAGTACTGTGGGCAGCCGTGCCATTATCTGCTGTATGAACCCAATGCTGGACTAGAGGGACCATTGGGCTGATCCAACATGGCGGTTATGTTCTGAAGGTCCTTTGCATCTTCATCAGACAGATTGATTTTAGCAAATACCCGATATGGCAGTTGGTGTACCGTATGGATTTATTCCCTGTGGAGTTAATTGTCCATCTGTTTCTGGGCCCAATTCAGGGTGCTGGTTTTAAGCCTATAGGAAGCCCTAAATGGCTGGGACCATGCTCTGTGGTGGACCACCTCTGCCTGTATGGGACTGCCTAAGCATTAAGGCCAGAGTGCAGGGCTCTGCCCTCTCACCTACAGCAAGAGCCGTTACACTGATGAGTACTAAAGACAGAACTTCCTCCATAAGGGCCTTGCACCTTTGGAATCCCCTCCCAGGGATTATCCACATGGCCTCACCATGGCTACTTCTTTCCCACCAACCCTTCTGAAGACGCATTCACTTTAGTCCCATTTGGCTGAATTGTGCTGTGCCTGAAATAATCTGTGGGGGAACTTGTGAAGGTTGGATGATAGCTTCCGTCACCCCTACACGTTGCTGGCTGCGCTGCATAGGAGGTGAGACTCCACTGACTACAAGAAGACCATAGGTTCACTGGCCGTGAGTTATATTCAGTTCACAAAATGAGGACAAGCGCTGTGTGTTTGTGTGTGAAAATTTAAATCTGATCTCGATGCACAGGCTGGTACTTGACTAGTAAAAAACAGGAAACACCTTTGTAGACTTTTTAAAAAATGTATGTAGGGCAAATTGAAGCCAGTGGTTTGTGTCTGTCAGAAGTCCACAGCTGTGTGTTATCTAAGCTACTTATGCTCCAAGTTCTAGCTAATTGCAGTGGGGCCAGCAGACACAATGGCAGGGGAAGGGAAGTTAGTTTGTTTGGTGAATTCTTAAGCCATAGAGTTTCATAGAAACAGGAGGAGAAAAAACCCACTGAGTGATTTCTGAGCATTGGAAAGAGGTGCCAACTGCACAGAAGGAACAAAGGCTTTTTCTAGCAGCTCAAAGCCAACAGATTTATTGTACAATAGCCCAACATTCCCCAGCCTGGTACTCTCCAGATGCTTTCCCGACTGACCTGACCGTTGGCCATATTGGCTGGGGGCAGGGACTGATGGGACGTGAACATACTGTATTTTCTACTGTATTGTTGTATTTTTAATTTAATATTTATATTTTAATTTATATTATAATTATTTTAACTTGGTGATGTGAGCCGCCCCGAGGCTTCGGCGAATGGGGCGGCATAAAAATGTTTTAATAAAATAAATAAAAACATCTGGAGGGCTCTGAGTTAGCATAAAAATGATGTGGGTGAAAGTGACATAGGACAATCCATTCCCAACTTATAGGGCAATCAGTTTTTATTACATTTTTATTATATTTGAGCTTTCTTTTCATCTGTAACTAACACTTAAGGAAATGTTGGTCGCCATGCAACATAGAATGCATGTTGCATGCCTAGGATGCATTTTATAGCACATAGAATGTGCACAGATTCAACTGAGAGGCACAGGGACCATGAGGATAAATGGAAGCTGTTCTGTAAAGCCAGATGGTGGGCTATACTGTACCTCTATTTCAGGGAGTAGGCAAATCTTTGGACCACCAGATGTTGGGACTACAATTCTCACCTGAACTTGCAACTAGCTAAGTGTCCTGCAAGGCCTTGAAGGATGGGCCCTGGCTGCTAAGGCTGTACGAATTTCAAAGGCCTGTCTAGAGACTGTCAAGATCAGATCTTGTTTTACTGTTTGCAGATGGCGCTGCATCCAGCTTACTTAAGGTTTTTTTGTTTGAATTTATATGATATTTTGTGCTTCTCTTTTCTAAGGACTTGGTTAGTATGACCTTTAATGTTTGTTCATCATTTATTATATATTTAGCCTATTTGCATGAGTATTTGAATTTGGTCATTCTATACAGATTCTGCAAAAATAGATAACTGTATTTTGGAATGATTACTTCTTGA